TGTCTGTTTATGGTAAGTTTTGTAATGACACAACTGTTATTCTTTCCTGATCTATTCCACCCATGTATTTGCTCAACAAACTTTTGTTGTACTAGGCACTGGAGATACATACATGAATTCAGCAAACAACCTTGTCTTTACGGAGGGTAAAGACACAAAAACTCTGCTCACATGCTGGTATGGGTATTGGGCTGAAGGAACAGTTAGTGTAAAGGCCCTGCTGGAGGTAGGGGAAAGAACAGGCCCTGGAGGGTGAGCAAGCGTAGAGGGGACAGTTAGGATATAAATCTGGGGACAGCTGGACAGGACCTGATTATTCAGGCCAGGACCAAAGTGAAATTCCTTAGGTTGCACAGGAAAACCTCCCACCCTTTCTCTCCCCCCATCCCTAAGCTTTTACTCTGTGCCAGGGTCAGCGCCAAACATTTCACCTGATGTGTGTTCTGAAGGCCTCAGGGCAGCCCGATAAGATAGATCCCGGCCAGGCACGTTGGCTCACCCCTGTAATTCCAGCACTTTGGGAGGCCGAAGCGGGTGGATGACCTGAGGTCAGGAATTTGAGACCAGCCTGGCCAAATGGTGAAACCCTGTCTCTATTAAAAATATTGGCCGGGCACAGTGGCTCAAGCCTGTAATCCCAGCACTTTGGGAGGCTGAGACGGGCGGATCACGAGGTCAAGGAGATCGACCATCCTGGGCTAAGAACGGTGAAACCCCGTCTCTACTAAAAAAAAAGAAATACCAAAAAAACTAGCCGGGCGAGGTGGCGGGCGCCTGTAGTCCCAGCTACTCAGGAGGCTGAGGCCAGGAAGAATGGCGTAAAACCCAGGAGGCGGAGCTTGCAGTGAGGGGAGACCATGCCACTGTTCTCCAGCCTGGGCAATCAGAGCAAGACTCCGTCTCAAAAAAAAAAAAAAAAAAAAAAAGAGAAGGAAGGAAGAAAGAAAGAAGGAAAAGAAAGTTAGTTCTTTTTATCAGGGTGCACTGTAATCCCGGCATTTTGGGAGGCCCAGGCAAGTGGGATGACCTGAAGGTCAGGAGTTTGAGACCAGACTGGCGAAACATGTTGAAACCCCATCTCTACTAAAAATACAAAAATTAGTTGGGCATGGTGGTGCATGCCTGTAGTCCCAGCTACTCAGGAGGCTGAGGCAGGAGAATCACTTGAACCCAAGAGTTGGAGGTTGCAATGAGCTGAGATTGTCCATTGCACTCCAGCCTGGGCAAACAAGAGCAAAAACTCATCTCAAAATATACACACTGAGAGAGAGAGAAAGAGAGGAGAGGAAGGCAGGCTTTTTGGCTGGGTGGGTGGGCTCCATGCCTGTATCCCAAGCACTTTGGAGGTGAGGTGGGCAAGTCACAGAGTCAGGATGTTCAAGGACAAGCCTGGCAAGATGGTGAAACCCCGTACTCTAAACTAAAAACATACAAAAAGAATAATAAGCTGGGTGTGGTGGCAGATGCTTGTAATCCAGCTACTTGGGAGGCTGGAGGCAGGAGAATGGCTTAGAACCTGGGGAGAGGAGGTTGGTAGTGAGCTCGAGATGTGCGCACATGCAACTCCAGAGCTAGGTGTACAGAACGAGACTTCTCCAAAAAAAATTTAAAAAAAAATAACAAAAAACTTCTTTTTTTTTTTTTTATGAGACCAAGGGTCTCCACCCTCTGTGGACCCAGCTGGAGTATCAGTAGTAAATCATGGCTCACTGGCAGTTCTTGCCTCCTGTCAGGCAAATCCTCACTACTTGCAGCCTCTGTGTAGACTGCGCTGAGGGACTACTGAAGGTGGTTGCCACGGAGACTGGAGTAGACTGACTGCATATGTAGCTAAAGATCTTCTACAGGGACTGATTATTGTGCTCAGGGAAGGTGCGAGGGTGTCTCCAATAATGATATGCACAACAGAGAATTGAGTTGCATATGTATTTTTCTTTTGGGATCTGCGATCCTCCACCTTGGCCTCCCAAAGTGCTGAAATTCCAGGCATGAGCTATCATGCCTGGCTGATATGCACGTTTTATAGATGGCTAGAGAGGGGAAGGGGCTTGCGGAACGACCACAGGGAGAGGGTGTGGGAGTTGGGATGGGGACCCCAGTCTGTTAACCCCAAGGTTTAATCTCTTATCAATTGTTCATTCCATTTCCTGTGCCCTTCCAGAAGCACACGCATATATAAGTGTGTACATTCTCCGCCCACATGCACATTTGCTACTTTTTATTTTTATTTTTTATCTTACTATTTTGTTTTGTTTTATTTTATTTTATTTTATTTTTGAGTTGGAATCTCACTCTGTCACCCACGCTGGAGTGCAGTGGCACAATCTCAACTCACTGCAACCTCCGCCTTCCGGTTTCAAGTGATTCTCCTGCCTCAGCCTCCCAAGTAGCTGGGATTACAGGCACCCGCCACCACACTCGGCTAATTTTTGTATTTTTAGTAGAGATGAGTTTTCACTATGTTGGCCAGGCTGGTCAACCTGACCTCAAGCAATCTGCCCACCTTGGCCTCCCAAATTGCTGGGATTACAGGCGTAAGCCACCGTGCCCAGCCTGGCTTCCTTCCCTCAGTAGAACACACTGGAGATCCATTCATGCTACTGTGTGAACCCGGAGTTAGTTCCTTTTTATTATTAAGTAGTATTCCATCATGTGGATGAACTATGGCCTGTTTAGCCATTCATCAGTCCAAGGACATTAGGTTCTGGAACATCTTCTGTGTTTGGAGATTATTAGGAATAAAGCTGCTATAAATATTTTCATGCAGGCTTTCATGTGGGTGATAAATTTTCACATCTCTAGGGTAACACCTAGGAGTGCGATGGCTGGGTCATATGGGAAGTGTATATTTAACTTTATAAGAAACCGTCAAACTTTTCCAGAGCGATTGTATTTTAGTAGAGAGGGGGTTTCACCACATTGGCCAGGCTGGTCTCGAACTCCTGACCTCAAGTGATCCTCCTGCCTTGGCCTCCCAAAGTGTTGGGATTACAGGCGTGAGCCACCGCGCCCAGCTATAGCTGATGTTTTTATAGTAACTTTCCGTGCACTGGGTCCTTGCTCATTCAGGCTCTGCCCTTGTCTATTCGCTGAGAATCTGAGCTTCCCGGAGAGACCTCTTTGTTCAGTTTTTCTCCTCTCTGGGTCTCTGTGTTCTGTAACATTTCCTTGTGTCCCAGGAGATAGACAAGTGTGGGTGGGCAGAGGCAAACGAATCTCTTTAGAAAATGTCCCCACGACTCCAGTTAGGAACAGTAGCTAATTGTCTCTGGAATAACAAGGCAGCAATGAGTATTAATTAATAGCTCATCAGGGTAGAAAAGAAAAGTCTAGGAATAAGGGTCTTGGACAATTCCTCCTCCCTGTGTGTGCGTGTGCACACACAGACACATGCACACACGCAAGCACAGGCAGCCCCTTCCTCAGCCGTTACTATAGAGACCTGTTTTCTGCCACCCTCATGAGCATTTACAAATCAAGACTGCACAGATGGTGACCTCAGCGGGTCTGTTGTTCTTTCTTCTAAGGACAATTTCTGGAGCCCTGAGGATTAAGGAAACAGGGCTACTCTGGACAACATCTGCCTGAGGCCCCGAAACCTGACCCGCAGCCCGGGCAAGGGGAGATTAGCAGAGGCGTTTACCCAGAAGAGGCAGGGCACGAAAACAGGACCACACGCAGGTCACCCTCCCCACCTGAGGCCACCCAGGGAATCCCTAATGAAGGTCTCAGTTCCCGCTTCCTGGCACGTTAATGCTTCGGACGCAGTGGGAGAGGAGAGAATCTTGCAATGCCAGTCCTGGAACTACTGCAGTATTATGAACTAGGGTTTATTGAGCATCTATTTTGTGCCAAGCACTTTACGGGTGATGATGGTGGCCTGATGTTGGTGCTCATTGTCTGTCACTCACTATGTGCTAAGCGCTTTATAGACCATAGAGAGCCAGGTCGTACATTTTAATTGGCACTGTATTTCCCAATGCCTGAAATTCACTGAGTGACTGAATGATCTAAGTTACTCCTTAAAGCTTCCC